CTACATAAAAAAATTCTAGAAAATTGTCCGAAAAATAATTTAGTGGAAAATGTTGCAAAACAGATTTTCTCGCCAACCAAGAAAATTAGAGTTATTATTTTCAAATTGATGTCAGTCTAGCTCTGTTTGCTATGGTTATATTTTTATGATTATTTATTTACTATAACACATGTATTCAACTACAGCTGATGCCATGTACATTTGTTATCTTTATAGTTTAAAGAATGTTAATTATTTTTTGTTTATTTTAAAATTGGTGATTAGCTTAGTACTGTTTTTGTGTTTTTATATATTCTATAATTGTTACTTTAAATAATGAAGAAGTTTACTTTTTATAGCTAAATATGTTTATTAATTTCGATTGTTTATTTTATGTTTTTCAATTATTACAATATTTTATCTCTGCAGTGACTTCTCATCTTTGACCTTTTTGCCTCCCCTGGAATTGAGTCTGCGGACGCCCTTGGCCCAGAGTACATAGGACTTTAGTTATATGGGTTGATGTGTAGAAATCATCCTTTATGTCCTCGCTTTAATCTGAGATATGTGATTAACTCAATGTAATGTACAATATAATTTGGTACAATCTAGATCAAAGCGGTCGCTTCCGACTTCATTTGCTAAACAATAACGTTAACACATGCCAAAATATTTGTTTCGTATTTGCTGAAAATAGTTTAGGCATATTGCTCTTCATCTTCTGATTTTTGACTTTGTCTGATGTATTCTACTCAATGATCATTGAGGAAGCTGAGCCATAGAATAAGAAAAGCACTTTTACCTCCCAAGCTCAATCGAGTTTGTATCTACTCTAAAGAACGGTGCCACCTCCAATTTTTAGGTATCTGACAGAAAACTCCAAGGAACTTCAAACAAACTTGCCAATGTCCATTAATCACCTTGATATGTACTTGCCGCAAGATACGTTCTCAACTGCCTATAAATTGACTGTCAAACATTAGGTCTCTAGCCGTAAAACAAATGACTTTCATACTAACTCATTGTGAGTGCCTGTATCCCCCTCTTAATCCTGTCATGTTACAAAATCCTTACTTACATAACATGTTCTGGGGGGGCATGACCCCTTCCCAGGCGAATTCAGTTCGACCACCAATTTTTAAAGTTCCAAATCGCTTAGATAAATCTGTAATACACACATATTAAATGGATGCCGTACTGGTATTTTCTGCTAAACACTGGCAGCACTGCACGTCTTAGATTTAACTGTAAGCTCATAGATGATACCCCAAGACTGGTTGCCTATGCGGTCAGCTTGATGTAGGAAAAACACTTAAGCTATGGGCAGTGGGTATGATCGGGGGCAGACGGCAAATAGTGCGCACTATAAGTGTTTTGCGAATAACGTAAATTACTGCAATTATTGACAAATGGCAACTGAAACTTTGAAAATTGCAAATTTAATGCGTAATGTCATGTTAGTGCAATCGTACATCACCCTGATTTTTGCCTTCAATAGTGCTCACGGGCACAGGACAGGTTGTAATGCGCATCGTAATTTTTTGAAGTAAATTAAACTTGATGATTCACCAGCAAACTTCTTGTGCATAATAGAGTTTAAAAGTTATCACGGATGCTACCGATAAGTAAAGGGCGTCGAATCAAATTTGAATTACACGCTATTTATAGGAGTTGCATAAAATTATAAGTAAGAAAGAAAAACAAATATGATCGATATTTGTTGTCATGTTTGCCGTAATTAATATTTCATTGCATACATACAAACTTGGTGAACAACACTAAAATACGTTAAATAACGTGCATTACTACAGGATACATACTGGGCACTATTTGCGAAAGTAATATTGATCGCTATTTGCAAATTAATGACGGCAACTGAGAATAAAAAAATTAGAAAGACCTGCACAAGTACCCGAAGCAAGCTCATGGATAGTGCAAAAGGTTTTTTAATAGTAATTTGATGCAAAAAGTTAATCTGATGCTGCTTCAACGTGCCAATAAAACAGCTAATTCAACTATTTCAATATTCACGCGGATTTAAAATTTTTCGATTACTTAAAATCCATCTGAATTGTTCAGATATAGTCCGAGCTACAGATTTTGCTGGCTATAAGGATGTCACATCTTAAGAGGGGCTTACAATTATATGCACAATAGTAGCCGCTGCGCACTGTTACCTCTGTTGATTTTACTATCTGTCTATATAACATTGAATCAAGTAGCGACTAATTTGAATCCGCGTCTTGCGATTCGTTCAGCAAAAACTTCCATCGCAGAAATTGAATGTACTAGCTACTAATCTTTCGATATAGAGGATAGAGAAGTTGTAGAGTGTGTGTTCAGCCAAAGAAATTCTACGGTATTCTTTCATAATTTTCAAAGAACTCATGACACGTTCAGCACTAGCTGAACCGGTAGGCAAAGTCATAAACAATCTGAATAAATTGCAGCTCTCTGGAAAACTGTCTACAAAATTGTTTGCAATCATGAACTTCAAATAATCTAGCGGGCTGTCGTTAGTAAAATTACGATTTTCTGAAAAATACATGGTCGTAAAAGTGGCTAATTCATATTTTAGATCTGTAGTGAAAAATTCCGAATATTTTTCCATCAAATGTGACGCTGGTTTCTAATTCGTTTCCTTTTAGATTGACTAATTTCTCTCATCAAAGAACCAAACACATCATTCACTTCACGAAATCCTTCAGCACGTTCTTGCAATTCGTTACTTATTGAATACCAAACTTTTTAGTAATTTATTCTATGTTTTTCGTGTGTGTCCAGGGGCGAGTCAGCAGTTTTTTCGTCGTATATTTTTTTGATTTTCCTCTTTTTCACAATGGGAAAACCAGGATTTTCCCATTCCATCTCTTCCCATTTATTCTTAGCCTTCAGAACAAAATTATCGTATGTGCTTTCGCTCCTCAAATCTTTTAATTTTTTTTTAATGCTGCTGAAATTCACCTTTGAGCCATCATTAAGTCTATTTCTTTATTTTGCATTTGAAATTGCACAGTATTTATTACCCTCAATACTGAATGGCACCATAACAAATTGAGGAAAAGGGTCCAGTTTATGGAGGAAAGGAGAGATCTTGCATTCATTATATCGTCGCCAGAAGCTCCCACTCTTTATCTTCTATGCAATTGATAATAAATTCAAAAATCCACGATATTATCATGAAGAAAATATATATGTCATCAAATAAAAAAAATGTACAGTATTGTGAAAGTTTATGGTAATAAGCATTGAAGACGTGAAAGGTCTGTAATAGACGCATTAGAGTATTTATTAGACTGAAAGAGGCTGACTCATACCACGAAGATAATTATTTACTGAACATTTTATGCCAGGTGATAATATATCACTGTAAGCACAAAATGAAACCCCTCCACTCCTTGAGAAACAAAAGGGTCATTCGGTCATTTTTTTAGAAATGAAATAGTCATTTTTCAAATAAATTCTTAAGAAATGAAACGGAAATTATCTTATTCAAACTGAATGCTAACACTCTGTTTCATAAACATTATGCACATGGTCACTAAAAGAATATAACAACACTGATTTATTGTTATTAATTTTACATTCAGACGCGATAAAGAATATAGAAACTAGAGATGGGGTTCTAGAACTTCGTGGATATAACGCTGCGCGTTCATGTTACCTCTGATGAAGATTAAAGGTGACCTGGAACCATAAGCTATAGCACCCCAAACCATAACTCCAACAGTGTGATGAACATGTCTTTCAACAAAAAACTGTGGATTCCTCCTTTCACCACGTCGCCGTCTAACCCTGGCACGACCATCGTGCATGTCTAAACAAAATCGAGACTCGTCACTAAAGACAATACTGTCCCATTCCTGATCCCAGAGTGACCGTTTTCTGCACCACTCAAGGCGATTACGTCGGTGTTCTCGAGTTAAAGGGAGGACCCAGTGTGGCCAAAAACAAGCCAAAACTTCTCATTCGTCGGTAAACACTTCGCATGCCAATAGGTCTTCCGTGTTCTGCAAACCATTCATTTGCAATGGACCTGGTAGTGGAGAAACGGTCACTTAAGGCCAATAATCTTAGGCGGCGATCTTCACGGTCTGTTGTTCTACGGCGGCGTCCAGTGCCCCTTGCTCTTTGCGTACGGCCTTCTCGAAGCCATGCCTGACAACACCTAACCACAGTGTCTACACTTCTTTGCACTCTAACTGCAATTGCCCGAAAAGAAAGTCCAGCTTCCCGAAGTCCCAGGATACGGCCCCTATCAAACTCACTAAGTTGACGAAATCGTACAGGTCTCCGTACTCTAGGCATCGTAACCGATCGTAAAGGATGCCAAGAACCAAAATCCGCCAACGTTGATTCTTTACTGCGGCTGAAATATTCAGTTTTAGAGCGTTAGTGAATTAAAAAAAAGCAGTATAAAAACCGGAATGTCCAACTGATAAGGCTGAAAATTTTTTCACTTGTTATTTACAGTAAGATAAATACATTCACCAACTTTTATTAAAATAAAACCATTTAAACTGGGTGTTCGGATTTATATGTCACTTAGTATAATATTTACCCCCTGTTTCAATCCCCTAAAGTTCTATTCACCCAATACTACGTAGTGTTCGAGATTCTAGTGAAGAAACAGAAAGACATGCTTTTTATCTCTACCGCTTGGACATCTGGTTTCTGTCTATCTTCCCTTGTAATTTTACAGGCGTACCTATGGATCCTTAAGCAGAAACGAGTTTTAAGTAGTTTTCAGGTAGCATATGTCCGTTTCCAAGGTCAAGTCTATTTGATCTAAATCGTTTCCGCCTTTTTGACATTAAAATAAAGCATTCATACATACACACTTTTGCATTGATATTGGTAGATATTAAATAAATGTTCTTAAGTATGGATGCTTTTGATTTTAATTTCTCATCAGCATAGCTTTTCCTGCAACCCAATCCTTTTTGGTGTTCAGTTATTACTAAGCTGATCAACTTTACGTAAATCTTTCGCCTGAATTAATAAGAGAATCATTATTTCAGACTTCAGGATTCGATAACTATGCTTTTGAAAAGGATTCGCAGGAAGAGCGAAATAAACAGGAATGCGTAGTAGAGGGCCCACCGGAAAAGGAAAATGAACCGGAAACGTCGGAAGGTGTATTGGAAGAGGAAAGTAAATCTGAAAAATCAGAAATTAGCTTTTTGGTAGTGGAAGTTGAACAACCGGATACAAGGGCAGTGGAAATGCAAAGTAAACAAGAAACATCAGAAGGTGAAATAGAAAACGAACAGAAAAACTCGGAAAAGATACCATTGGGAATAGTTGAAAAGATCAGAAGACTGTTCATTGGATTTAGAAAAATTGAGAAAGTAGAAAATTTACCCGAAAGACCAGAAAATCTATCAGCGGATGGAAAAGCTGCTGAGTTGGCGAAAAGTCCGCAAGTAGAAATCAGTTTGGAAGACCCTGCGGAAGTAGAAAATAAATCGGAAAACACATGGAAAGAGGGAAATGGACCGGAAAGATCAGAAGAAGGCCCAGTGGTTGCAGAAAATAATCTAGACAGGTCGCAGGTATGTATTTTAAGGTTTGATGAAAAACAAATTTCACAGTGCATTTTTAATACTAGTCACCGACCGTGGATTACAGAAGATTATTTCTAGAGATTGTACATCATAATTCCTCGCTGTTTGCTTTAGATGATACTTGTCAAATCATACCTTATCTAATCTTCATTAAATACACATTTTTGTCAGGACAGTATGACTCTCGAAAATGACCCATTGGGTGTGGTTAATAAGTTACTCATTATTAGATTCTTCAAATATCCTAAATCGTAAATGGCAATTCCTGTGTCCTTTCTCTATTCTACTCCTATTTCCTATTTTTGTCTAATTTTAAATGTCTCCGTGAGTCTGTTTATAATATGTATACTATATTTTCTATATTCAAAAGTTACGTATATGACTAGTTCCAGGCAAATGTTTTGCACAACCCGGATCCAGAAAACATGACAAGAAGCCTTTCGTGATTCATGTCAAAAAAGAATTGCCAGCAGATTAACACCTCTCTGAGGTTATACAAAAATGAGCTATAAAATTTCTGCATTATATTTCAACTGGTGCTACTTGTTGTAATCATAAACTTGTAAGGTAGCTCATACCTTTTCTGAAATTTTTAACGAATTTCTATACAGAAATTGAAGGACAATCCTGCAACATGACTTACTATTTGGAAAACTTTGTTTATTCAAAATACCATGGTTGTTGAGACATATGGGGGGATCTTTTTCCATTCTGACAGTCAAGGACCAAGGTCATGTGGGTCGCTCATATAACAAATGGAGTGGTGATTACAATTTATTTTGCTTATCTGTCTTCTTTGCTTTTTTTTACCTTTGACATTCCTATACAGTGTGTCACCACAACCATTGCAATGTTAAGATGGCACCGCGAAGAAACATCGTCATTAAACAGTATTTCAAGCATAGGTGGTTTTACCTAGTGACAAAGATGGAAGAATACCGATATACATATTGATACTAGTCGATTTCTTGTTTACTTTTAGTAGACTTTTTATTTTTCTCGTACATGGAAGAAGCTTCTGACCTCTTGCTAGAAGTATAAGATAAAATTATTTCAGACGCAAAGAGCTCAATGGGGTCGCGGTACAGAATTTTTGATGTCGTGCATAGCCATGTCCGTGGGCCTGGGAAACATCTGGAGGTTCCCTTTTGCTGCGAAGAAAAATGGAGGAGGTGCCTTTTTGATACCGTATCTAATAGTTCTTATTGTCATTGGACGCCCAATGTACTACATGGAGATGTCCATCGGACAATTTACCAGTAAAGGGAACTGCAAGATGTTCAGCAAACTCTCACCAATGTTCAGGGGTTCGTACTTAATCTAACAAGCTTCGCAGCAGCGAAATCAGACTTCCAAGAGTTTCAAAAACTAAATAAAGTATTGAGAGCCTGTTATGCAGTAACGTTGTGATACTGCTCAAATTATATACGATCAGTTTATTTACATTCTTATAATAAATTGTTTTATTTATGAAATGGAATGATCTGGAAATAAAATATATAAAATATTATTGAAGCAATTGCAGAGTTGTATAGGAAAATAGTTATGTATGAGAGTCTCCTAGCTGTACTAATGTATTACTGATACGTACTTAACTACTTAACTAAGGAACCTCGTTTTAAGTTCCCAAAGCCTTATGTTTCTTTATTATAACTTGATCCTGTAGTCAATTATTGTAAATAGTAATGCCTAGGAAGTATCAGTAAAATCTCTTTGTTTTAATCAGCTATTGGATATGGTCAAGTGATTGGAGCATTCTCGGTGGCCACCTACTATTGCAGTATCATGGCTGTAACATTGTACTACCTATTCGCTTCTTTTACCTCTGAATTCCCATGGTCAACATGTAACGAGTCTTGGATTAACTACACCGAAAAGAATGGAGAAGTATGTATCGACAAAAACACTAATCCGTTTGACCAGACGTTGACGAAGACTATAAGTTCATCTGAATTATTTTTTAGGTGAGTAGTCTGACGTCTATTGTGTAAAATGGCAAAAATGCATTCGGTATTACAGCGAAGCTTGTTCGTCTGCGAAGTCGAAAAAGTTAAATCGCGTAACGTTCCGATAATGATATAACTTCACATTCACATTTCAAGATCAAGATCAAACTGACCTACAATATTAAGTATTGTTGAGGCGCCATTCGTGAAGTCAGAACTGTTATCGAATTTATTCATGAAATTAAAGCTCAACCAAAAATTAGCAAAAAAATAGTATAGCTAGATTATCTGTGGTAAAATTAAAATAAAACTGGACAATCCGGCAGAACGTCAAAATTGATCCAGACACACCTGTATAATTGATGATCTGAAAACCAGGAAAAATGTTTACTACTATAGAAATACTCGTTGATACACTTTATCTAGAATCCAGCAACGGAAACCTAATAATAATGCATAAAAGAAAATGTGTCGCACATTCACCATTTTTGTAACTGCTCTGTTATACGTACCATTAGGGCAGTGGTGGCCATTTGGCCAACCTTTTCAGTATGTTGTGCTACTTTGATAATAAACAGTGAGTTACCTAATCGTAAGCCATGTAAGGCAATTTGAATAAAATTATAGACAGCTGTATGCGACTTACATGTGTTTATTTTATTAATGCATACTAATACAGTGGAATCCACCATAATGCTTATAATGGAAACCCGTATATAATGAACACAATTTAAGGTCCTATAAATAATTGCATGTAAAATCCTCGGATATTATAGACTCGCTTAAAATAGACCCTCGCTTATAGCGGAATATTTCAATCGATTACATCCGAGCTATTTTGGTAGTTTCCCGAAGCAGATTTAGCTGATGCAATCGTTTATTATAGTTTATTATAGTTACAAACATGTCGAAAAGTGCGAAACGTGCATTCACTTTACACGAAAAGTTCACAATATTCAGTGAGACTGAGCAAATATATGTGCTCGTATGGCTATATGACATATACAGGGTGACTTCGAAGTTGAGTCATTTATTTTAACAGTGAGTAGATCTGATCAAAAGAAATGTTTTTTTCCTTTACCATTTTTCTGGTAAAATTAAAGTAACAAAGTTATAGCCCTTTGGAAGTTTGAGTACCGCCCTGTCTCAATAATAATATTATGTGCTCGTGTTTAGCAACAACGGATATAATCCGCCTTATCGGTTCATCGCATCGGAAACAAAAAAGCGAAAGAATTTGGAACGATGTTTTTACAATTATTTTATTCAGTTGTATTCAGTCAGTGTCAGTCGGTAACGCGTGAGTGAATAGTGGTGTCTGTTGCGTGGCTCAAACGAAATCAAAAATGGCACATGTTTACGAAAATGCTGAACTTGTGGACATTTACGCGGCATCACGGATTTATGCGGATCGGTCTCCCAATCGAGTGCAACCAACCCCTCGTGCCTTTGTTAATGTAGTACAAAGGGCTCGTGAATCAGGTGACTTAAGACCTCACAAGGGAGGGCATGCCGGTGCTCCAAGACCGCACGGTCAAATAAAGGTCCGTACTGAAATACTTGTCTGGAGGATACTTTATATAACAAGGTAACATTTTTTTTTTAATTTTTTTTTATTTTTTACACTCATATTTTGGCTTATCTTCCTTCTACAATCATTATCTGAAAATTAATGACTCAACTTCGATGTATAATGTGAGAATATGTTATGATATAGGGCTTCTTAAATTCAAAACATACGGGCGCCCCAAAAGTCCTGCACACAGGCGCTCACCACCCTAGGACCGGCACTGCATTAAACCTCTGAACATTTTCAGAATTAACTGATAGAAGTCAGTTTTGAAAACAAAGTAACCATGTACATCAATTAATATTTTGACAGCGGAATAAGTCACATAATTGATGTTGAATTTAACAAAAACCAAGTACATGAACATAAATCTGTGAATCTGGTTGTGAAACGGGTGTCAGTACTGTCAACAATTAAATATGAGAATCAATAAAAATAATAGCATATCAATACAACTGGCTTTACTGTTATTGTAAGTTTGCCCTACATCATCCAATATTAGATACTGGTACCAACTGCAGGCAAATAACCTGTGAGGTCATTGTCTATGTCATATCTAAGGTCATCGTCACATTGCCTTTTTGATTGAACTTTCATTGGAATTCAATAGACACATATATCAAGGCTTTTTTGCTTTGTTCGTGCTGCTAGGAATGTTGATAATTAGCGTCATTCGAGACATAAAATTTTGCTTTCGTGTGTATGAGAGCGCCATGCCTGCGAACAGCATTAATTAATATGTCAGTACAGTGTATGTATACTCCCTGGAGTCCCACAGGACTCCATAAATCATTCGTAAGAGGATCCATTAGCGATACTTGGAGTGCGGCGGATGCTCGAATATGTATAAGCGCCTTGCAGATAATACTTTTCACATTCCAACCGTCCTACTTTAGCGTAAGGTACAGGGTGCGGCAGGAGTTTCGGTTTTTCAAAACTTAATAAAATATATTGTATGAATCGGAAAATTTTTATTTGTTTTTTAATGTAAAGTTTTGGATATCTTATAAAAAGTTTCATCTATTTGTAGGAGTAAATTTGTAGATTTCTGAAAAATTCTTGGCATGCATTAAAAATAATATAGTATCGTTTTTAGTATGTAAAACCACTGTTGCTACGTTATCTGTCATGTTTCCATATTGTACATTTTTATATCTAGTCTAAATTGTGCATATCCAAAATACGTTTTTTATGCTTTAACTTTGCATGGACGCTTCTTTTGTCAATCGAATTTATTTTCGTAGCATATATTTCCGTATCTTTATTGTAAACATATCGTTCCCTCCAAATCCCCTTTTTTCAGAATTGACGTACTGAAGCAGAAAGACGATATCAGCGACGGCATTGGGATCCCGGACTTGAAGCTCACACTTTTTCTGGTTCTAGCATGGCTGATCACATTTATTCTATCAGTGAGGGGCATCAAGAGTTCCGGGAAAGCCTCCTACTTCTTAGCAATATTCCCTTATGTTATCTTGATTGTCTTGCTCATAAAAGCGCTTACCTTGGAAGGGGCTACAGATGGAATACTCTATTTTATAGAAACGGATTGGACGAAGCTTTTGGAAGCACAGGTGAGTGGATACGTCCTTGGACCCCATAGGAGTTTCTCAGGTTTTAGAGGTTTCTGATCTCAAGGTCCCTTGGTCTCTCTCATGTCAGATTCAATGACATTTCAAATCAAGATTCAGAAGTCTTATTCAAAAATTCTGTGAATAGCATATTGTCGTTTTTTTTGACACTGAATCCAAATAAGTGAAAGTGCTTGAATCAACTCCACCTACATGTCTCATGGGGTATCTGAATCCAAATTCGGCATTTATTTTAACCCGACAAGATTATCCAGAGGTTAATTCAAGGTCAAATGAACGTTACTTTAACGTCAAGGATGATGACATTGTCGGGCAAAACAAATTTCATATTTGGATTTAGTAACTCATTGACCTACAGTCTATATTTTTTTGATAGTTATTAGACATTTTTGTTCTAAATTTGACCTAGGAATGACCGTGAACCTGACCGTGAAACTCAGCTATAGCTCTTAGATGAAATTGGGACGCGTGTAATGGTGCTAGAATTTTAACCTTGATTTGAGGTCAGGGATATCTGGAATGAACTAACTTATAGTTTCAAGTGAATAGAACTCCTTCATTAAAAAGGGGTTATCTCTGTGATGTGTTCCGAAAACGAAGGAATTATGTTATATTTAAGGTTCTTTAAACAGTGTAGCCTCAACGTTGGAATTTTGCATTTACTTTTAAGTAACATATATATATAATAAAGCTTTAAGATAACCCAGATATTAGGCTCCAAAATGCTATAAATAAACCAGTACGACACTGATACTCTCCTCTCACACGATCCACTTCTATATCAGGACGTATGATGTACTAAGAGTATGTGAGTCAGTATCCAAACCAGGCGTCGCATGCTGTCTAGACTAATCTAGTTTATAAACAAGCCGCGCTTGAAAAACCGAAATTGGAACATTCCTAGAATAATAATGTATTTATTAGCCCCAAATATAGAAAATATAGGAAGAGGCAAACAAGCTCGTGTTTTGAAGTTCAACAGCGACATCCTCAAGTAGTTTTCACAAACAAAACATATGTCAGGGCAGTACTTGAAATTCCTTATATAATGAATAGTGATTTATATTCAATTTCTTTTTTACGTTTTCGGTGTTATTTTGTCGCAAATTAGCTTTGGTATTGAAAACGTAGTTGTCTCTAAAAAAGAAAGTCCCAGCTTTCAGGGAAACCCTGTTGCATTCAAAATGTTAGCGTAAAGTTCTGTCTGTTTCAATATTAACAATTTTGAATGGGAATTCGCATATTCATTAGACAGATATCTAGCTTACACTTTATACCAATGAATGCGGAACTTAGAAATGAACTGTAACGATAACGATTGTATTTTGTACAGATTCCAACAAGAAAGAAATGCTTCGAAAACGTGTAGAAATTTATTAAAAGTGTTTAGTGGAGCTTTTTGCAGAAAAAGAAAAACAATTTCAAACGGTGAATCTTCTGGTAAGCCATTCTGGAGGCGATATTCTTCAATCGGGGACCATACTGAAAGGAATTTGCTCTTGCAAAATCACTAACACCAGGTATCGTGGATAAGCTCAATTCGGCTCAAAACTCCATTTCGGACCATATCTGGAATTTCAGATTAGCATCTTTGAGATGGGTGGCACATGGGATAAGTGAGAAGGACTTGAATGACATATTTTACCCACATGCACATTTCTGCATGCATCTATGGCGTATATAGAACCTGCATTCTGGTGGGGTCCAAATGGCTTGGAAGGGGGGGGGGGGGGCGCATGTGGGGTTAGACAAAAAAAATATTAGGGTGATATGTCATACTTTGATGTTTTCAAAATCCTAAACCTAGCCAATTTCCAAATATACAACCTTCATGTGCTTTTTCCAGAATTTCGAAATAGTGGGCCACATGAAATTCTTTGCCCTGGCACAGACAACGTTTCCGTGCTTTACTGGGTTTAATATTTTCAACTTGTAAATAATAAAACTCCTATCGATCTTCTTGGACTCCTCGAATTGATAGCTTTAATGGAAACAGCACAAAAATATTGTTTACCTCTTAAAGTGCTTGAAATTAGCATAAGAGTGGTTTTTTGAATAAAGTACCTACGGAAATTTTACTTTTGTACTGGAAAATAATGTCATGTATTTTTGAGTATTTTTGAAGCGACGGTATTAAAATCATTATTTGACAGTTGACAAAAAAAGTAGCATGTATCCTGTATTTAAAAGGTAAAGTAACGTTTTCTCCATATACAGGGTGAGTATAGGGACCCATATCCGGAAAAGTGTCACTACGGCACTACGGGCCTAAGACGCGTTAAAATTTAGAAAGACGATGAATTGCCTAAATAGAATTTAATGCATTTAATTTTTGCCTTTTGTTCATGATATCATTATAACAATTGTTCAAAATGTCTTACTCCAACCTGAATACACCGATTTAAACATCGCACATGATTTCGGCGGACTTGACTAAAAATTTGATACTCGTTTTGAATGGTTTCAAATGCTGCTGTAATTCCTCCAATTAAGTCTTGCTCTGTTTCTACTGATGTTTCGGAAACCAAAGGCTTCACATATCCCCACAGGAAAAAATCTAGCGACGTTAAATCGTGTGATCTAGGAGGCCAAGAAACTGCTCTACCTCTGGCAATCCAACGGTGCCAAAACGCGTCTTAGGGCCGTAGTGCCATAGTGACGCTTTTCCGGATATGGGTCCCTATACTCAAACGTTTTCTACTGTTACACTGAAAATCTCTAGAAGTTTGATCCTTTAGTTCTCAAATAGCCTGTATTTTGAGAAACATCTCAAAATAAATATTTATGTTATTACCCTTAAAACTAGAAGAAAAACAAGATTAAAATTGCTGAGGCTAGCACCTATGGAAAAATCATACACAAAATTTTAGACACAAATCGATTACAAAGCGAGCAGAAAAAATTATACAGTGTTTCTCAGTACGGAGCTGAGAAGCTTTTAGACAGAGACTCTTACATGCGGTACCCTAACAAATGCTCTATCACAAAAGGTCTGTACGTTCCAGTTTTAAAGCACCCCAATTCACAAAGGGTCCTAGGTCCTAGTCCTTATGGTAAGTCCGCCCCTGCTTTACTAGGTAATCCTGACCTACAATCAAGTTTTTCACATACCTTTAGATATTTAAAAAAGTTATGTTCAGATTAAATAATAACAGTAGTGATTAACTCCATGACATGTTTCCACTTAGATCGGTGTCCCCTCATTCCCAATTCGCAAAATGCTATAAAGCTGAAGTAGTAAACACGGAAACGGAATAAATATCGATTTCCAGAATTTTATTGAAAATATTTCCTGCCCATGCATTTTATGAATGTTGAAGTATCTCAGATTTTTATTACATTTTCGTAAAGCCAATCGTTGTCAGAGGAGCTATAAAGAAAATTAGGAAATTGGTCTTTATATTCAACATCCTACTCACGTTCAGTTCAGTAACAATGTCGCATTGAATTGGGACGTTGTATCGAATTCAGTGGTCCTGAATATAAGAAGTCCTTAATGCTATTGGGATAATAAGTTCGGAACGAAAAAGAATGTGCCGATAAAAATATATCATAGGTACACATAGCGTACACAATCAGGTGTATTTTCGTTCACGTGAGCTCCAAACAAGTCTGTTGGTGGTACAGGATGTTCCTTACTGATATGCGAATATTTAAGGGTGTGAATCTACATGAAAAATTAATGTCAGTTTGCTTTATAAAGTATGGTCCAAAAATGTTTCCTTACAAAAACTCGGGGTGTTTTAGGAAAAAAATGGAAATTAATTAATATTTTCAGAACCGCTTCAGATATTTCACTGATATTCAGTACGTAGTGAAAGTTAACAAAGTTGCATAAATAATCATTTTTCATGTAACAACCCAAAATTGTTCTTAACACATGTTCAACTCGTTTATATAAAATGTGTATTTTAATATTTTCGGATTGCATTTCTAAATTTAATTCCAGAAAAAACGGCAGCACAAAGCTTAAAAAATGTAAATACAATATAGTAGATGGATTTTGAAGAAAATTTAAGATATTTTGTGCTTGAATGCCATTTTTATTGTAGCACTGATCTGTAAAATATAATTTTAAAGCATCATATTGCTCAAGTATTCTATTTACAACAGGCAATACAGACAACCACCTTGTTTGAGAGGGTTGTAACATTTTATGAAGTTTTACTGCTACAAACTCCTGAAATTCTGCAAATTCAGTTTGTCTTTTAAAACTGCATTGTAGATACGTATGAACATCTCTATCTCAATCTCATCTGGTAATTTAGTACAAGCATAATTAACACATAAACTAAATGAATGACAGACACATTGCATAATGAATAAATTAGGAATATCGGCTTTTAGTTTGGTGGATAATGATTCATGAATTCCCATTCTAGCATTTGCACCATCTGAAGCAAAGCCTATTAGATTTTCTTTATAATTAATATTACATTTTAAAAAATAATTTACAATAGTGTTGTAATGTCCTTCTGCCGTTACATCTACTACAGGCAATAGACCAAAGAACAAGTCAGTAATTTTATGTTCATAAAAAATACGTACCGCTAAAGCTAAATGTTTAATTGCACCTTTATCGGTAGATTCATCAGCAATTAATGAAAATTTATTTGTTTGTAATAAATTAGTAGAATTTTCAAAACTGTACTGCCCTAAAACATTATTGACAATAGCTGTAGCTTTGGTGCGGGAACATGTGAAATTTTTAGCAATCTCTGAATCGTCAAATGATATTCCAATAATTTCTGATAAGTGGTCTAAAGTATTAAATGAAATGTTATGTTCAGCTGCATATGCTGCAACTCCAATTTCAGCAGTTTTGATTTTATTATTTAAAGATATTTTTCCCATTTAAGATGTCATATAAAAGTTTTTTGGTGTGTAATGATTTTACCAATTTGAGTGTTGTTTTCCTGAAGAATGTTTCTGGATTTTGGATTTGCCACATATAAAATCTTTATTGCATGCCTTGCAGAATTCATAATTGGACCCTTTCTTGCTGCTCCTCGGCCAACCTTTAAATTCAGGCTCTTGTTTCCATGCAGCGGTATATTTCTGAGTATAATAATAATAATAATAATAATAATAATAATAATAATAATAATAATAATAACAATATTAATAGTAATAGTAATAATAATAATAATAATAATAATAATAATAATAATAATAATAATAATAATAATAATAATAAGTTTATTCACGTTACATACAAATATAACTAAAACTAATATAGGTATACGTAAATAAACTAAATTTACCCACAGAAGAATAAATTCTTGTGCGTAATTCTTGTATATAACTTTATGATTTTTTCTTTTTTCTGATGTGCCCAGCTTCTTCAGAAGAAGACGGTGAGGATTCCAATTCATGTTTAGAAGTTGATGGTTGAGGTGTAATTGAGGACATGATGTTACATATTTAATTATAAAGAGACAATAGCAAACAAAGTTAGAAGTTTGGTTTAAAATACATAGATCATAGATATACATATTATAATATGTATGTCTAAGATATCAATATTCCATTAATTTATAGAAATATTTTTTCATTAACTTCAATACTAGATAATTAATTTCTGAGTAAACTCTTAAGAATCTTCCTGATCAAGTATAATAATTGGAAAAGCAAATATTTTATAATAAATAAATAGGTACTTACCTATGGCAAATAAATTCAATGTCGAAAAACTTTAATGATTATTCGTTAATAATTTTAGAGCACAAACTAAAAACAGTTGCTATTCTAAGGCACAGTTAGCACAGGGCACAATCCGTACAATTACATATAAATAGCAGGAAATGCAACAGAAACCACCTGGCGGTTTATATATTGTATTATAGCCCAGGTATTTCCCCGTATGTAAAATACCGTTCTGGTATTCACCGACGGGGAACCACAGCGTTTCGTTTAGTGATTCCCCGAATGTTATGAGTTATGATTTTCGACTCGTTTGTTGACACAATTTGGTGTTCGTACATTTTAATATATTTTGAATCATATTTCATAGGTGCAATCGGAAGGTATTTTAAAAGTAATATATTTGTTTTCCAGTTTATTCTCTATCTTTCGTTTATTTTTTGTCCCTGCTGCTTAAAATTGTCTTATAGAGTTTAAAATTCTCTAGATTTTATGCAAATTTAAATAAATTTCCCTTTTCCCTAAGCCAGCTCGTAATTTCCTAGATAAAGGGAAATTTTCCTAGGTCTGGTAACACTGGGAGGCCCCACCCGACTGATCTCTTAGCCGGGGGAATGTGAGCTTGTCACAGCACACGTGTTCTCACGATAGAGTCCGCGTGACGTGCGAAGTATAAAAAATCTCAAATACCTTAAAAGAAAATAATCAATGTCAAGCTGATTTGGCATTCATCACACAACAACTGATGCTTGCTTAAATGTTATGTATAAGGCGAATGTTAATGTTTAAAAATGCTTTATTTGCGGTTACCAAACTCTCTAATAGCGGTAACTATTGATTTTCTGGTTCATTGAGTTATGCTTTTCTGCAGGTATGGTACGCAGCTGTAACCCAGTGCTTCTTCTCTCTAAATGTGGGATTTGGAACGATTATAATGCTCTCGTCCTACAACAGTTTCAACCACAACATTAATAGGTAAGCAGCTGCATCTAAGAACTATTGTGGGAATGATTTGTATATTTTCTCCTTTGTCGATAAAATGCCTGGCGATTTAGCTCAAAAACGATATAAACCATTATTATTAAATATCTGACTAGTTTGACACGCTTATATTTCCGGGTCATGTTTCAAAATAATTGGTTACAGATATCGTTTCACCATTATTATACAGTCTGCATGTGCGTACGCGATGTGAGCGTAATAGAAGCCTGAAACATTAATTATGATCTAGAATGTCAAAGTTTGTCCCCTACTTGTTCGTATGCAGCACTGACATAAATGACCAGTGTGAAAGTAAACGTGGATTAGAGTTACATTAGTATAGGAGGGGCAATTCTACGGCCTGAAACCATATCTTAAGCATCTACTAATGAAGGAGCTGAGTTCAATGGATAGCGTGAAGCTTGCGTAAACAAAAGCTATGAGAATGATCACTGGAACCATTCGATCAACACCAATCCATTGGCAACCGGTGCTTAGTCACGTAGCACCACCTAATATCCGCAGGACCGCAGCCTTAATGAGAGAATAAAACACGTTTTTTTATGTCGAATACTTACCGATTCACATGGATATACCAAGTTTAACAGAGGAATACCATCGGCTTAAATCCAGATATCTAGCAGTATGAAGCGCCACGTAAATTGGTTAAAGCTTCTACATCGCTACCGAGTGGTACGCAGCCTGGATGCATGCGTCTTAAGATTTCTTAATCTAGCTTAATGATCCAACCCAAGGCTTCCCTGGATATGATATGGCTAGATGTCTCTGGTCTAAGCTTAACCGGGCTAGAACAGAATATGAAAAGTGTGCAGATTCCCTGCATACCTAGGACAGTGCTGAATCGCCTTAGTGTGTGATCTTTTCACATCTTGACATAACAAAGAAGATTATGGTGATTGTGACAACTGAGTGTTTAGATTAGATGAAGTCTCAAATCAAACAACCATTTGCTTTAAGTCCAAGACCTAATATCTCTCAGCTATATGCAAAGGATCAGGCACCAATTTTATGCTATTCAGTCTCCACTCTTTGGGCACACGGGGTCTGTGCCCTGAATTGATGGGATTTCCAAATTCCCAAAAATCAAACAAAATTTAAAAAACACAACTTCAATTTCCTCGCCAATTGGCGTGGGAAGTAAAACACGTAGACATGGAAAGATTAATATAAAAACCAGTGAATCTAATATCTGATTGGGTTTGTTTGTGGATACTCGTATCCTGTTTTGTATATCTTTGGATCGTTTCCTTTGGCATAGTTTGATTCTTGTGGAAACATTCACAAACCTGTAAACGTGTATAGAATACCTAATTAAAAGCTGAAATAGGTTTCTTTCTTCGGAAACACGCTAAATTTAAACTCTGATTCTGTTTGCTTGTAAATAGTTTGTTTTCGATATGTCTTCTAACACTTTCTTGTTGAAGATTGGAATAGTTGATTGTTGTGGCAAAATTGACAAACCTATTAACGTTTTTAAAATTAAGCACTAGAACAGTTGGCTCTTTTCTTCTTTGGAAAACTTTTTTCCACTAAAAATAACTGTGATCGAGGATAGGAGAATTTACAACACCCGTGTTTCGAGGAGCTTAGATTTATTTTGTTACCGCTAACACGAGCTTCCCCAGACTAGGCAGATGCAGAGCAAGTAGTGACACGTGAGACAGAAAGAGAGAGGGGGAAAGAGAAAGCACGAGAAATAGAGCGACTGACATCTTTAAACGTATCATCGATGAATTAAACGTTAGCACTCGTTTGTGCCTGGATCCAAAATGCTTTTGATTGGTATTAGTCTGTACATTTTAACTGGTGTAAATTGAATACTGGTTCCAGAAATATGAATACTCGAAGTCCGAGACGATGCGTTAGAAAAATTTATAGAAATTTGCTTACTGAATATAACAGCCGCATAATTATCTCGCCCAACATAAGATATATGATTCATTAAACAAAGAAGATTAGACCCGGGCCGAGTTACAAAAAGAGTGTAAAACTGATTACACTTTTTTTAACTGATAGAGCGATACATTATCAGACGCTGAAACATGCCTGCAAACTTAAACAATCTAAAAAGAAAAACAAGATTGATTTGAAGAAAACAATTTAGAGAATACCAATATCTCGAGGGGATATGAAAGTACTGGGTGCGCCATCTATTACTTTTTTTACCTATAAGTTTATGTGTTTCCATGCGAGTCAAAAGTCATGTGGTATGCATAAATGAACTGTCAAAGGTATGCCATTTATAGTCATGGATTCGGTTACAACACAACAGCGGATTTTGGTTATCCAAACTTATTACGAAAACGGTCGAAATATAAATAATACTTTTCGAACACTTCGCACTACTTTTGGCCGACCTGGACGCCCTACAGAGCCTGGAATTCGTTGCATTGTTAATCGTTTTTAGGATACTGGTTCAGCTGAAGGTCGTAGACCATACCAACATGCTCGCCCAGCTCGTACTCGTGGAAACATAGCCGCAGTGAGTGAAAGTGTGCGAGAAGATCCAACCACCTCGACTAGGCACCGTTCGCAACAATTGGGAATTAGTGAGACCACTTTACGCCGGATTTGACCACATTGATTTACACCTCCATCCATACAAAATCCAACTAACACAAGAATTGAAGCCGGCAGACCATCAACAGCGGCGTGTTTTTGTTAATTGGATGCTGGAAAGAGAAGACGGATTTTCGGCCTAAGTGCTCTTTTCTGATGAGGCTCATTTTCACCTCAACGGGTACGTAAATTAGCAAAATTGCAGATTCTGGAGGGTCGAAAATCCACACCAATATCATCAAGAACCTCTCCATGCTGAAAAAGTGACTGTTTGGTGCGGATTATGGGCTGGTGGCATCGTTGGACCATTCGTCTTTGAAGATGCCGAAGAAAAGGCCATTACCGTCAATGGGGAACGTTATCACGGCATGTTAACAGACTTTTTGTGGCCACAAATGGATCGTATTGGTGCCGATGATCTTTGGTTTCATCAAGACGGAGCAACGGCTCACACATCTCGCCATACCGCCTTTTGCATACAAATTTCAAGTGCGCATAATTTCGCGACATTCAAATATCAGTTGGGCCCCGAGATCGTGCGATTTAACAACTCTTGACTATTTTCTTTGGGGATTTTTGAAAGGAAAAGTGTATGCGAATGATCCCCGGATAATGTAAGACCTAACGCGTAATATTCGGACTGAAATTGCGACCATAGACCTGATTATTTTGGGAAAAGTCATTGAAAATTTTGACGTTCGGATGTCGTCCTTAAACGAAGCCGCGGATGTCACATGACTGATGTTATTTTTCATACATAAGTGGCATAAACCAAGCTTCATTTATCAACAAAAAAATCCGATTTCACCTCGTAAAAAGCGTGTTGATTTTTCATATAGAAAAAAAAGTAATAGATGACGCACCCTGTATAAACTACAGTAAGATACAAATAACGCCTCAAACATCTCAACAACTCTACAAACCTTCATTTCCTTGTCTTCCTTGTGATAGTATTATCATAACCTTTTCATTTTCACTTTTTGCCTACATATATTAACCGTTTGCGAGTCTCCACTCAGAAATCGAAGCCTTCATGTTAACATTTATAATCCCTTTAACTGTAATTTTTAATATATACCTATATATATTCATTTTCTACTCAAGTGATTATTTTCAAATGATGCTTTGAAATTTTATTAGTGAATTTACGTAAGATGGCCAGCAAATTGCGAATTTCAACCTTGTAACAAGTAAATGATTTTTGATTGACGAAGAGTCCTCCTGTTTAAATTTGCTATCGATTGTCAGGGAAACATAAAACAGCATATTCAGCAAAAAGGTGTGAGTGCAAAGGAGGTGCACATGACAGAGTAGAATAATCTTTCTATGTCCGGGAATAATCAAATGCAAAATTACAGTTGATAAAGGTATGTCAACATACACATATGATATGTTTAAAAAGAGAAAATAGAATAAGCTGACAAAAAGTACACTAAATTCATAAGTTGTAAGTCTTACATTAAGTATCCCTTACTGAACAAAATTGTGTCTTTACTTCATATTTGAAAGTGTTTAGGTTGGTTATAAACCGTCTTGTAGTTATCAGATTTCGAGCTTCCGGATAAATTCTTTTAATTGCATATGTCCTTGCGTGTTTAGGTTGGTTATAAACCGTCTTGTAGTTATCAGATTTCGAGCTTCCGGATAAATTCTTTTAATTGCATATGTCCTTGCGCAAAGCTACATAGAAATTAGAAGGGTGCTCGGAATGATGCGTGCCCGATTCATGATGATAGAAATGGTGAATGTGCATGGTATAGAAACTGTACACCATGCATGATACATTCACCATAATTTGAAATGGTGCATTTTTCAGATTTTCCTGGAATCTAATCTCCTGGTCATTTCAAGTCTTTGGTGTATGTGTTCTAACGAAAATTTGATCATTTTTTAAAAGAAATATACGTCATGAGAAAGTCACAACTCGAAAATATAGGAGGCTTCTTGGATATTCTCGGCAGCATTTGGATTTCAGGAGTAATGTTCCGATTGGACAAAATCATATCTTTTGTTTGCAGGGATGCTTTGATCATAACAACTTTGGATACGTTCACCTCCTTGTTATCTGGTGTAACCATCTTTGGAATATTAGGAAGCCTAGCTCACGAAATGAATGTTGAACCCAGTGAAGTTATTTCACATGCGGATGGAACTAGCTTAGCTTTCATTTCGTACCCTGAAGCTATTTCCAAATTTACTGCTGTACCATGGGTGAGTACTTCCGTATTAGCTGTCTTGAACTATTTGAAATCAAAATATATAAAACATTCAAGTTCTTGAAGCTGTGTAGGTTGGTGTACATTATTATTCAACATAATTTTAGTCACGCGATATAACATCAGTTTGGAATAAGAGCAAACAAGTTCTCAAAATTAGATTAAAAGGAGCATTAGTCCATCATCATCAAAACGAAAATCAACTGGTACTGACAGATGGGCGACTTTCTAAGGGCAAAATAAATTGGCTTGTATTTATTACTGGTTATAATTATAATCTCCAGAACTATTATTTGAATTGATACCAGGTTTTCAACTGTGGGTTGTTGTTTTTACTGATTTGTAAAAAGTTTTTAAAGAAACGCTAATTAAGTAGCGTAGTACCATCTTAACTTTGCTACTCTCTTCAGTAGAGGTTTATAGTGTTATTGGTTTAACATGTATACCTGTGTGGTTATGGCATCATAACTCGCTTACGGATGAACCGACTTCGATTTAGTTATTATATAGGGTAACTATGACTAAATCGTATCCCCTGACATTTTTATTTTATATGGATTGTTAATATATACTTAAACAACAACAAGCATATAAACGTAAACTTCATTTAATTCTTAAGCCTATTGTTACAACTTAATAATAATAATAAGTGTCTTTATTGGCAACCTTCCATTTTATGGCGAAGTTTAGCTTGATTGCCACTCTGCCACTGAAACATAGGAAGTTAAAAAAACTGAAAATTTTCGGTTTCCAAAAAATCGTGTACATAGTACGAAATAGGAGCATTGATCTTAATTCGTACCTTGGTGTGCTTAAATCGTACTTATATTATTAATGTACTACAATTGTCGCATTGATATGTAATAGTCTTCTTATCAACTCCGGCACATAGTTCATGTACCCAGAATTTGCAAACTGTGCACTAAATCATACTTTCTTTTCTATTTTCGTTACAAATCGCGCAGTGCAATTCTTCATTTCCACAGCTTTCTGATGTCACCTTTTTTTCGTATTGATTGTTTTTGATTCCTTTAATTTATTCTTGTTCGCGTATCCTACTCTTCCCTTGGCTTCTCTATTTAGGTTAAATTTTACTTTCTGCTTCTCATTTTCATCAATTTTCTTTCCTAAGTCATTTTTGTATGGACTTTTTGACAGCCTATTTTGTACGATTTTAATTCTTGGAATTGGAGAAAGGTTCTGGAGATGAGACCTTATAAGTCGGGCTGAATCTTTTGGCTCACCTATTTTATGAGCAGAGCTAACGATCTCTTTTAAGGGCATTTTTTATCTACGAAAACAATCACTGATGAATCTTCAATGTCTTTAAGATTTAAAAATTTGCATTCTCTTATTCCACCACTGCTTGTATATGGCTGTGGATCATCAAACGGGTATATTTGTCCTATGGTAGCTTCCATTATCCTATTTTCTGACGATGTTTCATATTTGTTAATGGTTTTGTGTGTTAAAGTGCCAGTTTCATCATTACTTCCATCCAAAGTGCTTCTATCGTCCTCTTAGAAACTTATATCCATTGCAACATAATCTTCTTCTCTGATCTTATGACGATCAGGTGGCCACTGTAGCTATAGAAGCTTGTCCAAAGGTTAAAGTCGGTGCGTGGTGTGTGCCGGGACGGATAACATTATAATTCCGTATCCTCTTGCAAGCCTTATGTCTTGAATGTTTTTCATGTGAGAGGACTGACCGTCCAGGATCAAGAGCATTTGTTTTCTCTTACTTTTCTCTAGCCCAGTACATCCTATTAAATGTTTTAGCCATTCTAAAAACAGTTCAGAGGTTATCCAACCACTATCAGAGCAAGTGTAAAGAGTATTTGGTGGGCCTCCCCTTTTAAGTACATCAGACATACGTTTTCTCTTATAAATTAACATTGGAGTTCATACAACAAACACAAGTAGTATTTGAACCTCTTTCTCCACTGGTTACAGCGCCTACTTGTTGCTTTCCCTCTTTGGCTAAAATTTTTGATGGTTTGTCGATACTGCTCAGCCCAGTCTCGTCAACGTTTCGATGGGGTAGACATTTATGTTCATAAAGTATTTTTTCATATTTGTCAAAAAAAAAACCGTAATTCTTCTCTGCAATGCGCCATTGACGTCGGCTCAAATCTTCATAAGGAGATTTCTGGATGGTCTTTCATAAATTTATAATACCATTTACAACCCGCCAATTAAATCGATGATGATTAATTATATTTCTCGGCAAGTTGATAGGCTAAGCGACACAAATCTTTAATTGTTAGGCCAAACAAACATGACTCCAGTTACAGAATATGTTGCACCAATTCATCCTCCATCGCAGCCGTTAGGTCTTTCGGCCTTCCAATAGTTTTGTGTTTAATTAGATTTTTTTAATGACGCCTGAACGTAGGTTTAGGAATATTATATGTACGAAAAATTTCATTAAAGCCTATGTTTCTGCTTTGTTATTTGTCCAAAGCTTCATTCATGTTAGCCTGTGACCAAGCATTATATATCATTTTCGGCATTGTTATCTGAAAAAAATGTGCATTTCAAACTTCCTTACAATAATCACTGAATAACAACAAAAGTTTGTAAAACCAAATTTAATAATTTTCGGGTATTTAGGTTAAAAAAAAGAAATATGCTATCTTACAAAGCTAGACTTGCAGTTCTATTAGGTAGTGCTCTGTAAATGAATCATATAAAATAAATTCCAATAATATAAAAATATTCCTAAATCGTACTAGTACGTTTTAGGCATATGACCAGATTTAATATTTTAAGCCTGTCACTATTTGAAAACCTAACCTATCATAACATAATTTATAGGAATTTCTTCCTAAACGATGTTACTTTTTAGAGATATAACTATTATAACACTTACCCAAGTCTTGGATAAAATATTCCTTTACAAATAAAGCCACAATATAACAGTAATTCGGGTATGAAATCACTTTGTTAAAATTTACCGGCTAAGCAAACTTACACCGTGCAGATCATGAGAATACAACATGGCCGATACGTGAGCTCTCGATTGCCAGCAACAGCAGCGCTGCTAGACATAATAGCCGCGAAATTTGAATGAGGAGCTGACACCATTTAAGCCTAGCTACCCTACATATTTTATTACGTCGTATTTTATAAGACATGTTTCCATTTCCAGCTATTTGCCATCATGTTCTTCTTCATGTTGTTCATCCTTGGACTAGGAAGTTTGCAGGCATTACAAGGTACTCTTAATACTGCCGTCAAAGATGCCTTCCCTACTATCGCTATGTGGAAAATATCCGCATGCACAGCTACACTCTGCTTGCTCATCGGATTACTCTACATGACACCAGTGAGTCTAACAATAAGCACACAATTAACCTGAAATCTCTAATGTATTCTAAATATATGAGCACGTTCAGGTCTATGGCGGTGTTAAGTTTGTTGTACTTGGATCATTGCTGATACTAATACAGGCAATGCTTCATTTGTAGTTTATTTTTTCATCTTCGTGAAATGTAGGGTACAATAATTAAATAGCCTTTAGTTGTGAACATGACTTTTAGGCAGGACAATATATTCTGGACCTGGCTGACCATTTTGGAGGCACATTTATAATTTATACCTTTGCCATTCTTGAGGTCATCGTCATTTGTTGGTTATATGGTAAGTGAAATCTAGCTTATTGACATAGACGATTCTGTGTACTTACATTTATTAAAATACAAATTAATTAACTAAATACTACTGTAGTGGGTTTAATCAGCTTACTCAATTCTCCAAAATATACTCGTATAAGGTAGGATCAAAATAATTTCCATCATCTTGGAAATCGAAGAATGAGCACTGTTCCTCGAACAGTTCATCTACGGATCTGAATAAACTCTTCGTGAAACTGAGCCGATTCACTTCATTCCTAAGGTAATGGTAATCAGTTTTCATCATAACATTGCTCTTGCCCAACCTTGTATAAAATAAACATGAAATTGCATTCTAGAATGCCATTGTGATCAATCCTTAACTAATCTTTGTATTCATAGCAGGTATCTGAATTTGTAATAAACGGCCTCTGCTTTTAGGTGTTGAGAATATATGTATCGACATAGAATTCATGACAAAGAAAAAGGTGGGGATATACTGGAGAGTCTGCTGGGCAATACTGATGCCTGTCTTGTTGATTCTTATTTATATTTACTTCATCTTCACGCAGAAGCCTCTTGTATATGGTGATAATAAGTCATACCCAATAGAATTGCAAGGTAACTGAATACACATCCAGGATTCATTTTTAATTGTTCAATTTGTCAATTTAAAAAAAGTAACCATCATGCAATGTATCAGGATACGCTTACGTATACCTACCATATTTGGGTTGTCTTCCTGAACAGAATATGTTTATTTGATCATTTTGTTTTTTAGTCTTTGGATGGAGCATTCTTGGTATTGGAGTACTCCAAATGTTCTTCTGGATCGGTTATTATCTTTACGCAAACCGAAGGTTTTCTGCCAAAGAGGTAATTGTAATTTGTAGTTTTAACTGATGGTGACATGATTTTTTACCAATTTTTATTGTGCATCATCATCTAGATACCGCAGATAAATTTCTCTGTAAATCGAAAGAATCACGTCTGCTTTTCCGAACGCAAGTTATTCAAGATCAAATTGCAAGAGGTGCCAAACATAAAAGAAAGTGTTTTGTGTTGTATTATAAGATATTCTGACCAAAACTCTCGTAGGCACAGAACTAATAAAGACCAGTTTTCAAAATTTTGATGATTTAGAGTTTAAGAGTATATGTTTCTGCTAACGTTGGGGCTAACAGATGATAAAAGAAGCATTGTTTTTATATAATGTTCAATTTGGTTTCAGATGTTGAGAAGGACATTTTCAACAGAACATTGGGGACCTGATAGCAAGGAAAGAACAGAGGAATGGAAACGATACAAAGAAGCCTTGATAAGGGAGAGAGAACCGATAAAAGGAAACTGGTTTAAAAGGAAAGTCGCGGTACTCGTGGGAAGATAATTTTTTTAACAATACTTATATTAGTCTGTGATAATCGCAATAGCATGAAAATTCACTTAAGGGAATTTCATTATTCTCAAATTGGCTAATATAAATTATTACGAGTGCTATAGTATTTTTGTGTTAAACCGCTGTTAGCCATGCGACTACCAAAAAGAGCTTCAGCAATGAATAACATATTTCACTCTCGTCATCTAGGAAATATATAGTAAGACCTGCAAATATTGCTCCGAAAAGCAATACTAAATTAAACTCGTGAAAGTAATGATTTTGGATTAATGTAAGTACGTTAGTGAAATATCGCTCGGTAAAGGAACACAGTTTGTCAAGTTTTCATTCTCAAAAACGTTGTTTTTATAGCTGAAACTATCTTTCTAATGTCATTATGAAAACTAGGAATTGGAAATTTACCTGACGATAATTAATAGGACTACATTATATGTTTCAAAATAATATTGTAAAGGGTGCTAGTTACAGCCTATGGTCTCGATATCAGGCGCTATCACTTTCTTGACATACGTTGCCATTATTTTTTTTTTGTTTATGAGAGAATAACGGCTTTTAAGTGAAAATATCACTGTACATTTATTTTAAATAAATAAACCGTTTTTGAGATACTTTCACATTTTACTGCACAAACAAATATCTGGCTCAAAAGCATTTTGTTAATAGTTATGAACGAGAAATAAATGCGGTCATCGATACTAGGCAATGCTTTGTCCATATTAGCATTGTAAAATATCTCTAAAAATGTTCATATATTATACATATTCTATTATTAAGGAACTATTTTTGGGTCAAGTTTGACTGTGCGATGTAATTTTGGATTGCCAGTATCTCAAAAACAGTTATGACATCGAAATAAATGAAGGGCACATTATTGCTTAAATATCATCACTCTACTATAATATTCCATAGGCAGTAATGGAACGGTACCAGTAAGGAAGTTATATCATAAAATTGCGAGATCATATACTAAGTGACATATAAATCCGAACACCCAGTTTAAATGGTTTTATTTTAATAAAAGTTGGTGATTGTATTTATCTTACTGTAAATAACAAGTGAAAAAAATTTCAGCCCTATCAGTTGGACATTCCGGTTTTTATACTGCTTTTTTTTAATTCACTAACGCTCTAAAAATGAATATTTCAGCCGCAGTAAAGAATCAACGTTGGCGGATTTTGGTTCTTGACATCCTTTACGATCGGTTACGATGCCTAGAGTACGGAGACCTGTACGATTTCGTCAACTTAGTGAGTTTGATAGGGGCCGTATAGTGGGACTTCGGGAAGCTGGACTTTCTTTTCGGGCAATTGCAGTTAGAGTGCAAAGAAGTGTAGACACTGTGGTTAGGTGTTGTCAGGCATGGCTTCGAGAAGGCCGTACGCAAAGAGCAAGGGGCACTGGACGCCGCCGTAGAACAACAGACCGTGAAGATCGCCGCCTAAGATTATTGGCCTTAAGGGACCGTTTCTCCACTACCAGGTCCATTGCAAATGAATGGTTTGCAGAACACGGAAGACCTACTGGCATGCGAAGTGTGTACCGACCAATGAGAAGTTTTGGCTTGTTTTCATACCGGCCACACTGGGTCCTCCCTTTAACTCGAGAACACCGACGTAATCGCCTTGAGTGGTGCAGACACCGGTCACTCTGTGATCAGGAATGGAACAGTATTGTCTTTAGTGACGAGTCTCGATTTTGTTTAGGTATGCACGATGGTCGTGCCAGGGTTAGAAGGCGACGTGGTGAAAGGAGGAATCCACAGTTTTTGTTGAAAGACATGTTCATCACACTGTTGGAGATATGGTTTGGGGTGCTATAGCTTATGGTTCCAGGTCACCTTTAATCTTCATCAGAGGTAACATGAACGCGCAGCGTTATATCCACGAAGTTCTACAACCCCATCATTTACCCTATCTTGACACCCTGGTAGATCCAACTTTCCAACAAGATAATGCCCGACCACATGTTGCAAGAGTCACAATAGACTTCTTTTAACGTAACGACGTCACATTGTTACCATGGCCACCAAGATCTCCCGACTTATCCTCAATTGAACACGTGTGGGATATGATGGGTAGGAGATTGCTCAATTTGCAACGTCCTCCTCAGACTCTAGAAGCACTTCGAGAGGAGTTGGTGGTTGCCTGGAATGAGATACCACAGGAGGACATTGACCACCTGATCAGAAGCATGCCTAGGCGCGTTGGAGAATGCGTAGCACATCAGGGTGCATCCACACATTATTAAAGGTCAAAGGGCTTTAAAGCAGTGTAATCATATTGAAATTTTTATTATTTACTTATTATGCTTCATTAAGTACTTATACAAAATTTTATTAAAATAAAACCATTTAAACTGGGTGTTCGGATTTATATGTCACTTAGTATAAATAAACCGTTTTTGAGTTACTTTCACATTTTACTGCACAAACAAATATCTGGCTCAAAAGCATTTTGTTAATAGTTATTAACGAGAAATAAATGCGGTCATCGATACTAGGCAATGCTTTGTCCATATTAGCATTGTAAAATATCTCTAAAAATGTTCATATATTATCCATATTCTACTATTAAGGAACTATTTTTGGGTCAAGTTTGACTGTGCGATGTAATGTTGGATTGCCAGTATCTCAAAAACAGTTATGACATCGAAATAAATGAAGGGCACATTTTTACTTAAATATCATCGCTCTGCTATAATATTCCATAGGCAGTAATGGAACGGTACCAGTAAGGAAGTTATATCATAAAATTGCGAGATCATCGTTTGTAATACTTTGTTGAAAACTAGAGTATAATTATTATGATTAGAGATAGGGAGTGAAACTGCGTGAGGGATACATATGAAGCCGAACCTGTCGCTAAGAGTGGTGTGGCTCTCGGAAATCTTGTGGGCGTAGAACATGACGTAAAGCGTCTGCGCATTGTAGGTTTACTACGTGGTTTATTAGTATTATCCGTCCAATATTTATGCTTGAAACTTACAGTTATAATGACAGCGAGGGATACCACATGCGCAGAACCCGAAACTCATTTCATCGTTGACATTTTTGGCTTCACCCCCACTCCATGAGTCTAACCTCCTATCTCTAGTCTTCGTAGCCAATACCGGAATGTGTGCCGATTTCTATAGAAATACGAAACAAAAATTATTTTGCCTAACCTACCTCAATATAGAAAATAAGTCACTGTTATCATACTTGTGTATCTCTATGTGCAGTCTCCTGTAAGTAAGAGTCACATCTGTAGTTTGGTATACAGTATGGTCCGTAAATGATGCATGTTTTGGTACAGACAAAAATGTTATTCTGGAGCTGGTAGAATACAGTACTTACAAGTCAAAGGTCTAGCCCATTTTCTAATAATTTTTACCATAAAGCGTATATATGCAAATGACGCGAATCATGCGCGGCAAGCACATCGCTTTGTGGTGGCGATGGCAGCTATACTGTAATTATATAAAACTGTAATGACTCATACGCGTGATCAGAGCCTGACCGCCGTCGGGCGACGGAACGGCTGTCGAGAGGCGTCGGGCTAGAACAGGGTGGTATTCTAAGCTCTGAGTATTCGATTTACACATTCTAAATAATACACATTTTATTCGGGTAACAATATGTCCCACAATCATCTTGACAAACTTTGAGATAATAGAATACAAGTATGTTAATAAACAAAACTTGGGAAAATACGGGCCTACCGTTTTGATTCATCTCTTCTTCTCTTTATTACAATTTTAATTTTTATATTATGCTCACAAGATATCATCCATTTGTTATAATAATCGTGAGTGAAACGGTTTATGAATTTTCGGACTTGTTTTAAGGAGAAATATTCCATACAGTGATCTGCTCGAATAAATAACATACTTAAAAATCCAGATCGCCCTACTTTAACTGCGCACGATGCCTAAATGGTGGATCATACATGAATGCTACTACGACGAAAATAAGCATCTTCAAAAGAACTAAAAATTTCGCGGAAGCATATAGCGATCTCTTGTAAACAAGCCTCAATAACGCTTTTCATGAGAGAATAGTCATTTTCAATCGTCCTCTGGTTCCTTATTAGATCCTTGCCTGTTTCGAAACGGATGTCAAATGGCTTGGTTTGCTCAAGCGGTTGAGCTTTGGGCTTTCATTCCACCCCGCTCGGCTGATTTTAATTTTTTTTTCCTTCAAGCAAGTTTATCCCGCGGTAATTCACCAAGTTATTCTTATTATGTCGAGAAAATTATGATCGGCTTTATTTGCTAACTTAATGTTGATTTTGCACCACGATTTAGCTGTTGAACAATGAACGAATAGCTGATGCCACTCGGAAGCCTGTCTGCCTGTAACACTATTGACTATCATGTGGGTGAAGCCGTGGGTTTATTCTAGTAAGTAAGGGAAATATCTCATTTGTATTAATATTTTATATTTTACAGTTTTTGCAATTCAAGATGATTTTGTGACCTTAAAAATCATATCATATTGATGAACCCGTCTACTTGTAACAAAACATTGAAACCAGTCAAAATCAATCAACAAATATGCTAAGACTAAGGATCACGCATGAATATTACCATAATTATAGTGAAAGGAAGAATTAAAGCTGATTCCGGTCCTGACATAAGATGACGCGCAAAACGCTTCCACGCTAGGCCAGATACAATCGCGTAGACTAGTAGTTCTTGGAACTTGTTTCGTTGAGAGTCTAGTTACCGCGTGATATTGTTTGTTGTTAGGAGAATTATTGTTTTGTTATTTCTATTATTATTGTTCGGGTTATACTTATGTTTCCTTAACCATGGAGGGTGAGACTGGGAGTGGAAGTACTGGAAGCCAGAGAACAAGTAGAAAGCTTCGTAAGGCACTGAAAAGGACGCGAAATAAATCGTGTTCAACGTGTTAAATTATTTGAACTGGAATATGTCACAGGGAGATGTACTTATGCATTGCGAAAGCATGACAGACGTCTCAGCGTAATGCTCACAAATTTTACTTCTGTCGTGTCCAGGACATTTTCAAAAGAAGCCGTTCGTTGATCCCAACCGCATGTTTTTTAAGTTTTTCGGTTCACTCGGTCCAAATGAAAGATCAACTGGTCACTATAGGGGCATCCGGAGGTGATTT